CCCCAAAACCCCAAAACCCCAAAACCCCAAAACCCCGGGATATAACCTTTGTATGGAAATATTCAGGCTAAATATAAATCTCATGAGATCAATTCAAGGATGTGGTCAAGGCTAGTGACTAGCTCCACATCTTGGTCTCGGCCTGATAAGACTCTGCTCTTGAAGATAGATCATTATGAGAGATACCTTCAGAGGTTGCTGGCATGCAAACCTGAGTTAAGTGCGTCCTAGATTATACCTCCCAGGCTCATAAAACCCATTAAAATCCATTCTTCACAACACATCTCCCATTCCACTTTTCCCTAGTACTCCTACCACAAATCTCATTCAAATCCTATGATTTTCCTTCAAACTCTCGAATTCCCGGTTAACCTTCTGGAGGCCTTCTAGGGCTTCCAGATCGTCTAAATCATAGTTGCTTGCGAATCTCTTCCAGATCTCCCGAAGAGTCACTCCATTGTTCAGTACATTCAGTATCGTACTGTGCAGCTTGCCCTGGTCAGGGCCAAGCAGCGTCAGCGTCAGGATTTTTGACAGGAAGTTCCTGTGCAGCGCCTGCAGCGCAGGCAACGTCTGAATCTTGGGTAAAGTGGTTGTGAACGTAGTCGAGTAGTAGTGAATCTGCGATTTTAGGTAAGTTTCCAGTGTCTTTGAGAAATGTAATAGCTCACGCTGGAATATAAGCAGCTTGTGCTGTAGTTTGAAGTAGCGACTAGTCCTGCTCCCACTTGTGCTGGCTGCAGGCGGGTGCCTCCACAAGTCGGATTTTGAGAGTAGGTGTACTCAGCGTTGAATTTTGAGCAAGAAGTTAAGACACTTGTTGTACTCTGTGAAGGATTTGGAGTCGAAAATTTGTTCAAGCAGCGAATTTGTAGTGAAAGTGATATTTATATGGTCCAATGCCTGAATTTGAGTGGTGAGGTATTTCGGGATAACTAAGTCTTCAGGGAATTCTACCTCAAGAGAATTTACTAGATCTGCATTTTCATCTGTTATTAGATCTCTTAAACTCTCTTGTAAAATACCGTTGATTTCATTCTCATTATCTCATTTTGAATATTCATCAAGCTTCTCGAACAGTGTGCTGGAGAAGAGTGCCATGTCTTTCCCAGACTCCATGAAATATATTTGTCGAATGAACTTAAAGGTTTCATCAAGCTTGAAGTCCTTAATAACGGTTTTGTTGAACTTCTTGCCAACTTCATCATATTTCTCTTTAAGTGGGACGATGATGCACTCCCTAAGGAAGCTATCCAAAGTTGATGTTTTGAAGTAGAAGTAGTGGTCCTCTTCAGAAGTTTCTAGTGAAGGACTGTCCAGATATTTTTCAAAAGTCATATCATCTTGGTAATACTGCATGGCTCCTTTGTACACAGAGAGCTCCTCTTCTGAGTAGTTTTTAAGCCCTTTGTAATCATTGATCATCTTCTCCAACCTTTGCTGATGCTGGGAGCTTCCATAGCTCATCTGGTTCACTAGAGCAGAGCTATAAGTCTCTTGGAGAGGTATCATGCTTCCTTCTTCATTAATCATCTCTATGGTGGAGAAAGAAGGAATTCCAAAGTTGTTCTCCAGTCCGCTCTCCCGTGTTACATTGAATGCAAAAGGGGCCTTCTTCAGCTCGGATACCAACTGCCGGTCGATGATGGTCTCCATGGATGATAACTTCACACACCTGTTTTGCATCTGAGAAGCCTGCTGCAGCCTATCCTGGATGTTGTATTTCTTGTCGTAGTAAAGTGTCTCTGGTGGTAAGTCTTCAAAAGTGTACTCGTCCAGATTTAGTGGGCTTTTCCTGAGTATAATGTTCTTCTTGATTCTCTTGGTCACAAGGGTGAGGAAATCTCTAAAAGTTATACATCAGGATTACCATGTTCTGTACTGTTCGAATTCGGTGTCCATGTCTTCATCCATGGTGAGGAACATCTCCTTTTTGGTCTCCTGGATCACACTGAGGGATCTACGGATGTTGAGGATTTCTTTCATAAATGGCTTGAGGAACCTTGGGAGGTCATTTATTTTGATCTCGTAGGGCTCATCATCAGCTGTGCTGTCAAAGGTATCCTCTTTGAACCAGGAGTCAACTATTTCCATGTACGGAATTAATGAGTCAAGGAAGATCTCTATGATTACCTCAATCAGCTCTCTATCCATTATGTTCGAACAGTTGATATTGATGAAAGAGTGGAGATAGTTGAGCAGATACACAGTCTTAGCTTCATTTGTGAGTAGCTGCTCACCAATGAGACTGTTCATCTCCTCTTTGATCTCCGATCGTTCTGATAATGACTCTTCATCACTATGGGAGATGTCGGAGAGGCCCTTCTCCTTTTCCTCTTCAAAGGCATCGAAGTTCATGGGGACTGCTTTAGTGAGCATGTCGTAGTAGACCATGACATAGGGCTCAATGATCTCGATCGTGCTATTTCAGGCTGATCAGAGTAATCTCCTTATGCTCTAAAGACTTTACTAATTTTCCACTGATTCTGCATTTGTTTCTGGGAATCTTCCCAGATTGCATGCAGAAGAGAGTGTACAAGTTGTTGAGCTCTTGTCAGAGCAAGTTGAAGTTCCTTATTATAGAGTATTGAAATCCCTCGTAGACCTTGCCTACTCTAGACCAGTTGGTCATATCTATTTTGTCCTGGATTCTCAGGAGGAATTGCGCAATTTTCATGAAATATTGCAGAATGCTCTGTAATGAGAGTGGTGAGAGATGTTTAACTTGGATTTCCTCCTTTAGAGTGAACGTTAAGCCTTGCTTTTTAAAGGTATCCTAAATCTTAATATAATACCTTACGTTAGAGAGTCCTTTGAGCATCAGAAGGATGTCATTGATGATTAGCCTCTCAGTCAATGTTTTGTATGGCCATTTCAAGACTGGGCCTAACCTTTGCATTAAGTTCTTTGGTTTTGAAGCGAAACTTGTAGAATCATTAACCTCGTTCTCTTTGAATTGATTTGAGTAGAAATAGCTTAAGTTCATAGGTTCGTGGATACAAGATTCAACCTGTTGGGTCTTGTTATCTGATTTATATCTGCTTTCTTTTAGCCTAGGCTGAGAAGATTGGATTTCTTGCTCGATTTCTGTGCGACTCTTGCTTTCGACCATGCAGGAATAGATCTCCTTGAAACTTCGAATTTTGAGTAATTTATGCAGGACTTTATCATCATCCATTTCTTCATCAGGTCTCTCCTCTGGGATTCTTGAGAGACTCTTACCTGCTTCAGGGGAGGGATTATAGTGAATAGGAGTAGCCCCAAATTCAGCAGCAGTGATCTCCTTCAAAATCTGTCTAGGATCTTCAGAGAGTTGGCTAGTGTCCAGAAACTCTTGTTGGGCATCTGGCTGGCCTTCGAACTGACCTCTATCATCGATCTGCATGTCTTGTTGCTCATCGTCTTCGAGTTGGGACCAGTCACTGTCTTGCTCTTCTTCAACCTCACGTTTCCAGTCCTCTTTGATTTGTTTGAGTTCCTCGTTATTGTCTAGTTCCATCCTAATATATTATCACTCATGGGCTTACTTGATTTCTTTCTCGAGCTTCTCGAGAGCTTCCTGTTCCTTTAGGAGACGGCGTTCTCGCTTCTCACTGAAGTTCAGATTGTCAGGAAGGGTATAGCTCCCTCTAGCGGGGCTTTCGCTAATGCACAAGAGCATAAGAATAGCCGAGTGGTTGACACTTTCAACAATGCCTGGTATCTTCTTAGCCAAAAACATGTCGTAGAGGGTTTTCAGCTCTTTGCCCTCCTTTTCTTTGTTGTTGAGGGTGAACTTCTCCACCAGATTTGTGATACCTATGCAGGAAGGGTCAGAACATTTCTTAGTAAAGATTTATGCTATCTTTCCGCGGATTCAGACTTACTGCTATCAACTTGGTTGGGATTTGTATCTAAGAATTGATGGTGATCGATGTTTGATAGGGCAAATTCTTCAGCCAACTGGAAATTTTTTGTTCCTTCCTCGATTCCTCAAACTTCAGTGATTAGATGGGCCAGGCCAGACTTGACCAGGTCTTCTTTGTTATTTTTGAAATTTGACGCCATAGTTTTGACTCCAAATATTTTTAAAATTATAATATTTCAATTATTTATCAAAAGATTGGGGTTTTGGGGTTTTGGGGTTTTGGGGTTTTGGGGTTTTGGGG